TTAGTAATTCTTTTAATTGCTTAGATGAAAATTCATCAAGTAATAGAAACTCAATTCCTGTCTTTGAGACACAGTCTAATCACTCAAAACTTAGCAATACTGCTGAACTGACCTATCTCAGACCCTTCCTCACGGAGGTTAAGTTTTCAGATATCAGAGTTAGGAGAGCCCAGGGCAAAAAGTGAGGAGACAGAATCTCCTAATGCGGCCTTCCCAGTCAGGTTAGCATCGTCAAATGGGAGAAGGAGGCCTTGGTGCCAATGTACACACAACTAAACTACAGGTGTAACAACCGTCCAAAGGGTCATTTAGTATCAGTAAGTTAAATTACTTCTAAAAGTGCATGTAGTTAGTCTCCTAAATGACTTTTAACAAAATAATTTAGTTTACAGTCACATTTGCGCAACTTACCTTGTATTATTGTATTATCAAAACTGTAGTTTTGAATGACTGAATCCATGGAATATGGAACATGGAAAAGCCAAGGGAAATCTTGAATATTTATCAGTTAGGCAAAACACTCAAAAAGGAACATTTATCTTTATGCCAGCCTAAATAAACTCTGAAGCTCAGGAAAACAACATTAAGAGTTCCAAAGAACTGAGGATCCACTGAAAGGAACATAATTCATTAGGACTAATTTTAAGGTTCTTCTAATTACATGTTGTTTATTGTTACAAAAACATGAGGTTTGATTAAAAGAAAAGTATCAAATGTTTTCCCAATGACATAAAAGTTAACTCTGTTGGTTACTTCAGTGCATTTATAAATTGTTCTTAATTATTAGTACCAGGTTATTTTATCATAACTTCAGATATAAAGCAGCTACTTTCCCCACTGCACCCTTTCTGCAAAACCTAGAGGAATGCAAGCAGATAGGGAATGTGCACAGCACCAATCCCAGGCAAAGATGCACAGTGGGAAAAGAGCAAAAATGTTTACTTGCAGGAACTTTAAATTACTGGGGAATTAAAAAAAAGTTCCAGGGAATTCAAGGCAAAAGTCAACACTGAATCTTCATATATTAGGGTGTACCCGCTGACCTGGAGCATGACCATACAAAGTGTATGGCTGTGCTTTTTGTTTTGTTTTTAAACATCCATGTGTTGTGTATGTTGTTAACACATCAAGCTTCCTGACCAAAAACTTTCCAGAAACCTAGTGCCTAGCAAAGGGACAAAGGCCCAAAGTAGCTCCTGGATACACCTCAGTTTAGCCAGTTTTGATTGCCATAATGAGCAATTGCCATCAGTCATAGAAGAATGTGTCCAATCCATTGTTTGCCTTAAGCTCCTGGGATACTGTCAGGTATATGACAACATGAGGGAGGAATATTAAGAAAGGAATAAGGAATGAAAGGAAAAAAAGCAACATCCCTGTGGTCCATGGCTCGGACATGTTGACTGGGGAATGATACAGAATCACAGAATGATATGGGAGCAGACTGGAAGGGACCTCTGGAGATCACCTAGTCCAACCCCCCCTGCCAAAGCAGGTCCACCCACAGCAGGTTGCACAGGAATGTGTCCAGGCAGGTTTTGAATGTCTCCAGAGATGGAGACTCCACCACCTCCCTGGGCAGCCTGTTCCAGGGCTCTGCCACCCTCAAAGTGAGGAAGTTCCTCCTCATGTTTAGGGGGAACTTCTTATGTTCAAGTTTGTGCCCATTTTTTCTTGTCCTGTCACTGGGCACCACTGAAAAAAGACCAGCTTGACACCCACCCTTTTAGTATTTGTAAGCGTTGATCAGAACCCCCTCAGCCTTCTCCAGACTAAAAAGACCCAAGTCCCTCAGCCTTTCCTCATAAGAGAGAAGCTCCAGGCCCCCAATCATCAGAAAAGATTATCTAAATTCATAGAGCAAAAAACTCACTCTTCATCAGACAAAAAAGCAAGTCAGACAGATTTCTGGTCTGACCCAATACGGTTCTTGCATCAAGCAGCTGACTGCAGCACTAGCAGTCAGATTTCCAGGCTGGAAATAGTTCTAGAAATACTGGGAGTGTTTTCAGATAAAACCTGAACCAACTGTACATATTTGCAAAAGTTGGCAGAAAATTCTGGGAGAGCTTTTTACAATATAGCAACAGACTTCTGGGATGCTTTGAGAGGGATCTAATTTTAAAGCAGCTCCTGAGACTGCACTGCTCACTGGAGCAAGCAGTATCTTTGTAGGAAAGGTTATTTCACATATAATATAGAAATATAAACAGAGGTGAGGGTTTAAGTAAGACAAATAAACTACTCAGATCTATGATACTTTAAAGAAATATTGTTGGTAGTATATTTGGTGACACTTAGTACTCAGGAAAGCTGGAGAGACCGAAGGCCATGATCACAGCCAGGCACACAGTGTGGACAGACACCATGTAGAACTTCCCCAGGCACTTCTGCCAACACATCTCAGCCCTAACATTCAGTGCTAGTAACGATCCCATTTTCATCCTCTCCTCATCACACCAAGGGCCACATTTTTAAAAAGTGTCTAATTTTATGCCCATTTAGCCAACTGACTCAATGTGTGGCCTGCACAAACCAGGTACAGTGCAGTTACTTTCTGAACACCAGTTGACACAATTAAATAGAGGCATAATGGGAATTCTAGTTTCAACTTTGCAAAGCCTTCAGATATTCTCAGTTAGAAAGGATAAAATAAAAATAAAATGTCTCTTTCTACCTGTTAAATCTTGTGACTGCCCCAAGGGATGTGAAAACCAAACTTCTTTTTTGCCAGCTTGTGCATTATTGCTGGCTTAAGAAATAATCTTGCAACCAAAATAGAATATTTTTCCCTTGCAGTGTATGAGCTAGGCCAAAATCTCACTCTGCCACACCTCTAGGAACTGTGCAGTATTAGCAGGAGGAAAATACACTAAACACAGAAAAGAAAGATGATACAACTCAAAAAAACATGAAGAAAACATTAAGTACCATTTTATAAGTAGTCTTCCTGAGAACGTCTTTAATACCTGTGTCATGGTTTATCTATCTATAAAATATTAATAACAAAGTATCTGAAGAGACTTAAGTAATTTATTATTTGTAGACCGCTTGAAGACACTCCACTGAATAACAACATACGTGCAAACTGGTGTTTCAGCTCTCATTTGGAGAACCTGACACTCAAAGTTAGTGTAAAATTTGCCTTCCTTAACAAAAAGTGAGAACACTTGCATTACGTGAGGCGGAATATCAGTTGTCAGAGGCAAATGTGAACCTTTGCTGCCCTAAAAGTCATGTAATACATTAAGCACGTTACTGTGACTGACTGAAAATTAACTGTTGCTCTTCATACAATTCCTTTCACCCTCCTACTCTGCAAGAAGCATAGAAGCAGTAAGTAAAGACTTGATCATTTACCTCCCTGAAGGTAAAATGTTTGACACTACATGTCCACACCTCAACTGATTTCAACCAACTCCATAATACCTGTTATTTTTCCTTCTCACGAGCTAGCTGAGGTGCTGCTGTAGATGTCACCTTAGGTGCTGGAGTTAAGCAGGGTAAGTTTAAGCCATTTAACAGTATGACTTTGCTAGTCCACTCAGGATGCAGGAACTGTCGCGTGAGCAGCTCAGCAGGCAGATAATGAAGTAAAAAAACCCTTTCTTAAGGATAATAATCTCTTTAGCTGGTACGTCAGGAGCTGAAAGGAGACACATGAACAAGCCCTGTTCTATAATACCCATCTGCCAGGCAGTTTCTGCTGCTGGCTGGCCTGTAGGGTAAGGTGAGTTCTATTTCCAACCCATTTGCTCATGGAGGGAACAAGCCCTGCAATACTTGCTCTCCCCTGTAAGCTACAGCAATTATGTCACAGGGCTTCGAAGCCATAGCCTAGACCTACATCTCTGGGTGACCACATTTGGAGACTGGCCTTTCTGGATCAGTCAGGTACTGATATTCCAGACCTTGCAATATAAAAACACAATGGATTCCTTTAAGGTTTTTACAGCTTACTTTTTATAATTTATAAAATGACTGACATATGATACTTATAGTTCAAGAAGGAAAGAACTAGTAAATGGATACTCGTATTTCAGTATAGCATCTACAAACAACATTAGTTATCCTCTATTATCATTAATCTGTCAGTACCTGCTTCTACCAGTTAATTCCTTTGACTTTCCCCGATCTTCACCTTGTTACTATATGATGTTTCATGTTTGGAAGGACAGGAGACTTTGCTTGAAACTGGCAGCAAGTAATTTACATTTGGGCTTTGTTAAAATGACAGCAAGCATCATTGAGACCAAATGTAAAAGCCAGACTGGAGGAGGTTATAAAAAATTCAAGTGGCAAGCATTTCTCCTTTTATCTGACAGTTATTATTAAAAGGCCATATGTCATTCTGTGACACAGAAAATTTGAACACAAGAGACAGAGGTAGAGTTCCACATTATGAACAGATCACCTTCCCTCTACAGACAGTTTACTTCCTACAGATGGGACAGAACTAAATTGAAGCTCTAACTGAACAGTTTCTCTACGAGCAGCCAAGGGCATCACACACCCCCTTGCTGTTGGATGCAATGCCCCAAAGGCAGGACCTCTGGCCAGGATACCCAATGTTGAGATGATGTTTAAATTGCTATAAATCCATCCCAGAAGCGGCACCCTCTAGGCATGCCCAGCTACAGCAGTTGGAGCAGGAAATACACCTCCAGAACTAAATCCAAGGATACTTCACAGACTCATTCATTACCCATATCTAAACGTGTATGTATATCTAACCTTAACATTAGATAAGAAAGGCCCGTATTTCAATCAGGAAACACTAAATTTTAATAATAAATTTTAATAATAATTCTAAATAATTGAGAAGAATAAAAGAACCTTAAAACATTTTCATCGTAACTTAAGGCTGGCCTTATTTTGCATACCTTTGGGTTCAACACTAAGGCTGAAGACTTTTGTTTTAGAGATTTCATTCTCTGAAATTTACAAACAAACGGCATTAACCGTTAGTAAAAATGCATCACAGTCTTAGATATACTCACTTCCTTTAACCACAGCAATTTAGGCGGCTGCATTTCCACAGACATCACTCCCCCCACATAGCTCAAAACCCTGTGTTGCGTTGCATTGATGCGCTCGACTTGACTGACTGCACGGTGGTCCATCCACATAATAACATTCCTACAGTTTTGTCCTTGAGGGGGAAAAAAAAAAAAAGAGATTATTTTAGGTCTGGTTTGACCTCACCTCAGTACTATAAGTTGCTAGACTCTAAGCTGCTTCACATTTTCACTTCTACATAGAAAATTCAAATTCTATTTGCTTTAATAATCCACAGTAGATATCTAAAGATAAAATTCAAGCCCTTTGAGCCACGTTTAAGACACGCTGAGTGCTGAGAATGCTGACTGAAACCAATCAGGCTTGTAAGCATCCAAGAACTTTGAAACGCCATGCTCTTGTAGATTTCTTGACAAAGTACCCATATTTAGTTAAAAATACGAAGAAGCATTTTGGTGACTATGACCTAAAAATGTGACAAAATCTGAGCAATTACTTTACAGACTAAAATTAACTCAGCTATTCAGCTAGCTAGATAGTTACAGGGATTCTCTCTCCTCTTCTACTGCTGTGAGAACAACTAACCTAATTCCTTTCAGAAATAGTTTCAGTGGGTAATTTGCTGAAAATGCTTTCATTTTGGATGTAGAAGGAAAAAGCATTTTTCTTCTGCATACCACATGAGAACAAGAAGCAAAGTATATTTAATCAAAATTAACCTATAGAGGACCCGGTAGAGAGCTGGAACAGTAATCCAGGTGACACTTCAGATTCCTCTCCTGCTAAGTACACCGCACACTCAACTTCATGCCACAGCCACTCATGCACAGTCTTGAAACCATACTCCAAGAGAAGGCAGAAGTATGAGGCACACCGGTATTTCTAACATGGATTTAAAGACAACCTCCAACTGTGAGACTGCCTGAAACCACCCCATCGCATGCTCTCACCAGCGCGACAGTATTCAGTGCGTTCTTGTCTTTTTATTTAACAACACTCTGTAAACTCACAAGTTCTTGGGGATATCAGAGAATCAAAAATGAGAACTGATTTGACTCAACAGACCAAAATAGCCCCAGACATCATTAGGCATTGAACAGACTGTAAGAGACTCAAACTGAAAAATAAATAATCTCATTTAAATTTAGCAAAGGACGTTTTGGGGGCAAAGCTGGGTTTTTGAGTAGGCTGGGAGGAGATGACAAATACATCTGAGAATAGAAAGGGAACATCAACAGAATTGTGACTATGGCTCTGTAACTACTGATTTAGCACACACCTAATCTTAAATGGGATTTGCTGAAAAAAAGTACATCACAGACTTTTCTTGACTCTTCTGAATCATCTACTCATAAACTAATAAAATATCAGAATCTTTAGAAAAAGGTCACAGACTGTTCTGAAGTTTAACACTGTCCTAAGAAAAGTCAGAACATCACTGTAATAAACCACACAAGCTGAACCTCTTGCCTGCAGCTCCACGACGGAGTAAGCAGTTAGACTATACTAACACTACATTTTTAGCATTCCTTTTGCCAGTGGGGATGGGCATTTATAGACACTTATAGATGAAAGTCATGATTAATAAAGTCTGAAGGAGGAGAAAACATACACAAATGAAAAATGAACATAGATTTCTCTAAGAAGCAGTCTCTTTGAGGGAAGATGAAAAAAATTTGATCTTAGAATATCAAACATTTACCCAAACCGTAATTCTCATCTCAAATTTAATTTTGCAGTAGAATTAAAATAGCAAAACAAGAAAAAAATCCTCTTGTAAAAAAGATTTTCTATCATCTATATCTCAAAGAGCCAACCCCATAACTTGGCATTTGGACGAAATTGTACATTCACTCATATCAGTGATAGAACATGTACAGTAACACCAATTTTTGTGCTGGAATCCTACCTTCACAGTTGACTGCCAAAGGTTGGAACTGTTTATCCACAACAACAAGGGAACACGTTGCATCAAAACCAACCCCTCGAATCCGGCTGGCATCTACTCCACTGACAACTTTCTGCAAATACACAAAACACACATGAATACAAATATATCCATATAAATATATATATGCATGTACAGTGTAAGTACAGAAAATGAGTTACAAGTTAGAAATGCAAGACGAAATGCTGAAATTTTTGAGACTCAGTATTCTTTAACACCTCTATTCAAAACTACACCAAACTACCAAAAATTCCTTGGTTTTCAAAATTGAATTCAAAGGCACAAGAAAAGTTCTTTAATAGCTTTTTAATCTTATTAGTCACAGACATGCATGAAAGCAGGAAGCACAAAAATATCAGAAAATAAATGTAGCAGAAAACTAGCAATGTTAATTTTCTCTCTTTTCTGAAAGCTTGGACATGAGCTGCATGTGAAGAATGGACACAGGATTAGGGCCAAGTGTTTCCACCAGTTACTTCACTCTGTGCCTACCTGTGGAAGCAACAATCTTTGGTAATATTGTGCCACTTTTTGTCTTTCAATACTTGAAGGGTCCCAAAAATAAAGTTGGCCAAAACCTGTAGCAGCGATAAAATCTTCGCAACGCACATCATTTCAAAAGCTCTGCTACCAAGAGTTTGGATAGCATACTTTTTGGAAGATTTTCCAAAAAAAAATCACCACCCCAAAAAGGTCTGAATTTCACGGCTTCCAGCAGCACTGGAAAAAAAAACACAACACCCACATGCATTAAGTGCCAAGTGAGGTTGCAAGACACCTAAAATGTAATGCAGTAATAAATTGCCACTTCTCAGCAACAATAAAAATATCATTATTTTAATTAGTACTATAACGAAAGACTTTCACTAGACTTGCTGCAGTGCCAGTCTCTTACTGGCTCTGTAAAGCTACAGTTTCAGAAATGGTATTTTATTGCTTATATATAAGAGGTTGTATTTAAAGAGCTCCAGAGCAAGAACAAAGCAACTCACAAAGAGAAAAATCAAATAAGCAGAATAAAAGACTTGCTCTGCTTTAACATCAAGCTGTTCTTCCTTATCACTCCTGTCACTCCCTTCTTTTCCTTCCTTCCCCCTCACCTCATCTCCTTCATTTCAGAGCATTTCTGCAGAGCCAAGCTCATTAATGTTTGAAAAGGCTGATCAATAAAAAGAGAATGGGTGAACTGCCCATCTGCAAATTACCAAGCATAACATGAATATTTAAAAAGCCAACCTTAGAACATGGAGCAGGCTGGGGCTTTATTAAGGAGGATGAAATGGCCTACATGTGCACTGCCAAGCAAGGTCACTAATTTACTTTCATCATTATCCATATAAATATATATATGCATGTACAGTGTAAGCTAATGAGTACAGAAAATGAGTTACAAGTTAGAAATGCAAGACGAAATGCTGAAATTTTTGAGACTCAGTATTCTTTAACACCTCTATTCAAAACTACACCAAACTACCAAAAATTCCTTGGTTTTCAAAATTGAATTCAAAGGCACAAGAAAAGTTCTTTAATAGCTTTTTAATCTTATTAGTCACAGACATGCATGAAAGCAGGAAGCACAAAAATATCAGAAAATAAATGTAGCAGAAAACTAGCAATGTTAATTTTCTCTCTTTTCTGAAAGCTTGGACATGAGCTGCATGTGAAGAATGGACACAGGATTAGGGCCAAGTGTTTCCACCAGTTACTTCACTCTGTGCCTACCTGTGGAAGCAACAATCTTTGGTAATATTGTGCCACTTTTTGTCTTTCAATACTTGAAGGGTCCCAAAAATAAAGTTGGCCAAAACCTGTAGCAGCGATAAAATCTTCGCAACGCACATCATTTCAAAAGCTCTGCTACCAAGAGTTTGGATAGCATACTTTTTGGAAGATTTTCCAAAAAAAAATCACCACCCCAAAAAGGTCTGAATTTCACGGCTTCCAGCAGCACTGGAAAAAAAAACACAACACCCACATGCATTAAGTGCCAAGTGAGGTTGCAAGACACCTAAAATGTAATGCAGTAATAAATTGCCACTTCTCAGCAACAATAAAAATATCATTATTTTAATTAGTACTATAACGAAAGACTTTCACTAGACTTGCTGCAGTGCCAGTCTCTTACTGGCTCTGTAAAGCTACAGTTTCAGAAATGGTATTTTATTGCTTATATATAAGAGGTTGTATTTAAAGAGCTCCAGAGCAAGAACAAAGCAACTCACAAAGAGAAAAATCAAATAAGCAGAATAAAAGACTTGCTCTGCTTTAACATCAAGCTGTTCTTCCTTATCACTCCTGTCACTCCCTTCTTTTCCTTCCTTCCCCCTCACCTCATCTCCTTCATTTCAGAGCATTTCTGCAGAGCCAAGCTCATTAATGTTTGAAAAGGCTGATCAATAAAAAGAGAATGGGTGAACTGCCCATCTGCAAATTACCAAGCATAACATGAATATTTAAAAAGCCAACCTTAGAACATGGAGCAGGCTGGGGCTTTATTAAGGAGGATGAAATGGCCTACATGTGCACTGCCAAGCAAGGTCACTAATTTACTTTCATCATCAGCACGTACAGGCAGATCGTTGGATCAGAGGGTAGAAATTTTCCCCTATAGTAAGGTATATTTCAATATTGTTTTATGCTTGACACTATCCACAAACGTATATAATTTATTGTGGTCTTATAATACTGGACAGGCATCTTAATGAGGATCATAGGTGACAGACATTATGTTAGGCACCATCCACAAACCAGATTACAACTTCTCTACAATAAATGCTCCTTTGTGACTCCAGTGCAGCATAATGCACATCTTTAAATATATGCATTACCAGGTTCTGAGCAACCTTGACTCTTCAAAGAACTGGCTCATCTCTAAAACATACACTAGTGAAACAAAACCCACATATTTCAATCCTGAAATCAGTGGGTAAGTCCTCCTGCTGAGCTAATAATGGAAAGGAAGGGCCTCCATCTTATTTTCAGTTGTATCACAAGCTTCTCTGTAGAGCTTGCAGAGCTACCTGCAACATGTATCTCCTTCATTTTCTCTTTGCTTACCTTTGTGACTGAGCAACAGGCAGCCCATATGTCTGCAGAGGATTGCTCGTAGTGGTCTGGATGGGGCTCCCAAATTTGGATTGGCTGATCTGCATGTGCCACTACTGTCCCAAACTCGTCCACCAAAGCCGCGCGGACACTTGCTGACCCAACATCAACTCCAACATAGCATTTTCCTAGAGCTTGCTTCTTACTGTGCATTTTTAATAAAACCTGTTGGGGGGAAATAAAAAAAACGGGGATAAAACCAGATAAAATGACTGATGATGAAAAGCTGTGCTGAGCAGGACAGGAGAGATGCTGTGCAGGCACTTTGCTTGATAACTCTTTTTTGCATCAAGAGCTTCACTTGGAATTTTCTAATTAATTAGAGTTTTCAAGTCTTGCACTAGTTGTATGTACTTTCTTCAAATGTTTGTGTGTAAGTTTCATGGCACAGAAGCTCCTGAAAAGCAAACAGAATAGGCATGCTAAGGTAAAGTTCATGAACTCAATCAAAGAACTGAGCCATGGCCATACACTACCATGTCCACATAAAGGGAAGGAGGGGAAAGGAGATAGGAAGGAAAGGAAAGGGTATGGTTCCAAACTCAGCAACAATCAGAAGCTTTACACAGAAGGGAATTTTCAGTCTAGAGACTTGTGGGTTTTCCTGAATTCTGGCAGATGGGGAAGCTGCTGATGCCTGGTAAATGGGGTTCACCTCTGGACAAGACAGGAAGAACCACCACAGCTATGTCATTGCCTCAATGCAAACAAATTATACTCCCGAAGCAGTGAAAGAGGTGGTGTGCCTGGCTCCACTGAACCCTGACCTGAGGAGGAACCAGAAGCCAAGAGCTGCTGCCTCCCATAGAGCCAACCAGCTGCTGAGCGGAGTATTACCGCTGAACGAGACCGTGAGTCAGGCTGAATTTCTGCAGAATCTGAAAACAGTTTGCCCTCCCTAAAAAAGTGGTGTGATCCTGATAATTAAAATAACTAAGTGACAATCTGGCACGTATTACCCACTTTTGAGCCTTCCAAAGAAAAAGAAAAAAAAAAACCCAGCAAAAAATATGGTTTGATTTTTAAGAACTATCCACCATCCACACAATTTCAAAGATCCAGAAAATAATTTGCTGAAAATGTGGTGAGTTATGAAAGGATCCCAGGAAATCTCTGCCTACTCTCTGACAACGTACAAGAACAAAGTGAGGTTAATTGATTTAATTATTCACAATGAGTTGCTTACTGCACTATATTACGTTTAACTATTTGACATTTAATACAGTGACAAATGCACTGTACTTAATTTCTCACAGTTTGTTCTTAATTAATAGTTAACATTTAGATTTTAATCAAGTTGGGAGAATGCTTAGTAAAAGCTGATACAAAGTATTAAAGATGTCAGAGGAGTACCAAGTTTAGTGCTTATATGAATCTCTTAATAACCCTTTGAAATACACAGAACTCAGCTGATGAGCAGTTTCTGATTTCCAGAAAATGAATGGATCAATTATAATTTGATGAATACACAGCATTTACTGAGCACCAAAATGGCTCTACTTAAAAACAGCCCATCTCTCCCAAAGAAGTGACCTGGATAAGTTCTGTGTATGGAAGATGGGTTGTTCAGAGGGAGGGACATGGGCAAAGAGGGAAAGATTTGGAAAGTACTGTTAAGTAGAACACATTTCAAAAACAAAGCCTTTTTTTTCCCCCTTTAAACATCTTGAGTATAGGTCAAGATCTATCCTTGGGTGTCAGTCTGAACATAGAGTTGGCACATATAAGTGGCTGTTGACATCTATGGTTGGCTTGTAACCACTGCTGTTGATGGCTACTACAAATCTAGTATCACTGAGGGTTAGAGGTAGCAGGTGAAATAAAGAGAAAAAAAATAAAGGAAAAAAAAGAAAAGGTAGTTGACTACCTCAGAAAACTCATAATCCAAGCACCATCCCAGATAATAATTAAGCAGTGTTAATAGCTGAATCAGGACAAATTTTCATCTGCACTTGAAATGGCATAAGCCAACACCTTAGCTAAAGAAAACTACCTAATTTCCCCTCATCCTACCGCATTACATGGTTCGTGGAAAGGTGGTTAGTCTGTGGAGATCAGCCATCACAACCTGCCCCATATGATTGCTTTGTACTGCCTGAATCTGTTATTCGTGCTTAGACTACCACTGCTGGGGGCCAGGAACATTTTTTTGTTCTTCACTTGGACGGCGTTAGCATGAGGGAGTTCTGTCCATCACTGCAGCTCCTAAGCAGCCCAATAAAAAGCAAAACAGTTATCACACCTAGGTATGGTCACTAGAGAAGTTGTACAGATCATTAGCTTCTAACAATATCAGAACTAGAATAAAAATCAAAGCTGTAGAGCCTATGGCATACTGATGAAATACTAGCTACTCTCCCAGCATACTGATTCTGCCCAGTAGATTAGGTGCAACACACACTAATCTTGTTAGGCAAGGTCATCTGTTCAAGCGATGAGCAATCAGCTAAAAATAATGGTGTGCCATGAGTCTAACACCTAGGAATATTGGCAAGAAAGCTCGCTTTATTTTCTTGGCCCCGGCTCTATGACCTGGTCAGACTAACAAAAGCTAATGCCTCTGTCACAGAGAGGACAATTCTCCTGATATCAGTGATTAATACCGCATCTGTCAGCTGGGGATACTTACAGCACTCTGCATCTTCCTCTTAGCCCTTGGCTGTAAAAGCAGTTTAAAGATATTTTTTTCAACAGATGATGTTCACTTTTTAATTTTGCACTCCATCTCCTCAAAGCTTAAAAGGCTGGCTGCAGATGCTGAGATGCTGTTAGCTACTTGCAAGAAATTCTACTATAATGAAATTGCATAAGAGTGTTCCTGATACTATCTCACGAATTTCCCTGGTTTTCCCTATTTCGGCACTGCCTTTAGCTGCTGACTCATAAGAAGATGAGAAGAAACCACAAGCTGATTTTTTTTTTTTTTTTTAAATAGGCAAATCTTTTTTACTTGCTTTTCTCAAAATACAAATAGCAAAAAGAGTATTTTACATCCTGCCTCCTTCTCTCACACACACAATATTACTCTAATTTTTTATTTCTCTTCCATGTATGGCAGCCTTGATTTTAGCTCATTAATGTGTTTTTGCTACTTAGAGAACAAGCTTAACAGATGTTAGAGAATTAAGCTCATAGTACCTCCTACTCAGCACTTAAAATTATGGTTTTGCATTGGATTCTTCCCACATCTTTCTTACTTGCTTTTCTCAAAATACAAATAGCAAAAAGAGTATTTTACATCCTGCCTCCTTCTCTCACACACACAATATTACTCTAATTTTTTATTTCTCTTCCATGTATGGCAGCCTTGATTTTAGCTCATTAATGTGTTTTTGCTACTTAGAGAACAAGCTTAACAGATGTTAGAGAATTAAGCTCATAGTACCTCCTACTCAGCACTTAAAATTATGGTTTTGCATTGGATTCTTCCCACAAACATTTGAAACCTGGAGCCTAATCAGCCCGTGTCATGTTTACTTTCCTTTTTTACTTACTAAGCAACCAGGACGTGCATGTGTGAGTGACTGTGCAGGAAGCAGGGTTTGTTTATATGCTCAAGCAGTACATAATCAGTCTCTGAATATCCACTACTTTATTTTTGTAAATTAGTGGACCTAAGAAATAGTTACGTGTCAGAAAAACTTTAACTGGCCTTTGTCTGAGTGCAGCTCATCTAGATTTACAAAGCAATACTTCAGTATCTTATGAAAACAGGCTAAAAGTAAATATTAATCCTTTTTTCAAGTACATCAAGCACTAAGTTACTGTTCAAAGTATAGCCTCTCTGCAATAGGATCTGATCTGCTTGCAAAAACATCATTTGATGCCAAGGGTTTTTCTGGAATACCAATCACTTGGTATGCCACCAACTTGTCAACCGGATCCACAAAAAGCACTGTCATCTCTAGGTCATAAGTGCCCCCAACTAGAGACTCTGTCTAAAGGTACTTCTTGAGAACCTAAGAACCCAGCAGTGGTTGGTAGAAAATATTTAGCCAAAGTACTTTGATAAGAATTTACAGAGGAAAGTTGCTATTCATTTTTCTTTACAGAAGGTTCCTTTGGCTCAAGAGGAAGCTCCAAATCAGAAATGAAGAAACTCTTTAACTGAGTTCAGAGGTAGAAGAAAGTCCCAGGACAAGCTTCCTGCTTTGGAATCCAGACACCAACATTCATTGCCATGTGTAAAGAAAACTTTGTTGTGCAAATAAAACTTTGGTTTGGATTTTTTATCTACTGGATTCTTAGCATACAACTTCTGCAGTCAATCAATCATAAGGAAAAGAGCAAAACAGAATAATGATTTAAATAAGAAGTCCTAAAGCTCCAGTCGGACAGGTCAATTCTTCAAGCACAATATTCCTAACAAGGCACCAAAATATTTGATGCATGGATGATGCATGTTTATGGACTTCCCAAGAGGTGAAAAGCAGTGCTGATAATACCACTACCTCCTATACCCATGAAGTATCTATCTCAGGAAGTCTGGCTTCTTGCAGCCAAGAGAAAAGGCTTCCAAAACTTCAGTACAGCTTTGCCATTCCATTGCAGAATTAGGTTCCCATATTTACAACTTATTATTTTAATTTGCAAACAGAAAGAGAAGGAGAGAGGAAAAAAATAACTTTTAAAAGACACGTCCAGCTTGACCGTGTTAGTTCATGACTACAACTGGTAAGGTAGGTCGAGAAGCCAAAATTCCCTCCAAGCACTAAAACAGCAATGGCCTCTTTCTTTGCAAAGCACAGCAGGGACAGAATGGCTTTTCAAACAAGCATTTATGATCAAAGAGCTACAGCATATGATAAATATTTATATGGCCCATTAAATAATAGTCTGTGTAAATATTATTCAAAATGTGCATGCTGGAAACCACAGACTTCCCAGTTTATCCTTAAACAAATGTGCTAGTTTTCCCACATAGGCAATGAAAAAAAGGAGGGGTGAAAATGTCATTTGCAAAATATTTCTTTAAAAGAAGAAAATCCTTAACATTGTTTACTTTAATTGAAAAGGAATGACTAAGTAACCAGATGATTGTTTCATTACAACTAACTACTCAACTCAGACTGTCCTACCTTAATTCATGGTTATCAAATCACCAGGACACACCTTTCTGTTACAGCTACAGTACAGGAAGGATGCAGACTCACGTGCACGTGGGC